TATTGATATATATTATATATTAATTATTATTATATTTTATTATATAGAATTTAACGAAACCACGTTTCACGTACAGTCGATCTATTCGAAGTGAAATTTCCGATTAATATTCGGGCAACTTTTAAAACGCGACAACAGTTTTAGAACTGGCTTTAAACGGCTTGAATTACTTTTAGATGGTAGAGAGACCGGTCCACATTTTCAGCATGCATGTAACTTAACGAGATCTGCAAAACGCATTTTTTTCAATTTTCGTTACAGCCTCTGATAAAAAAGGTTGAATAACGAGGGATTTTTATTTCATTTTGTCACTCTAAGTAATGGCAAAATTGCCATGAAGTAGTTTAATCACTGTCCAGTATACTAGTCCCTCTATCATCTAANCGTAGTGAGTCATCGAGCGTTACTGACGTCACCAACATGCTTGGGGGGACAATCAACCGGCGAGTAGCATAAAAATCTTGCGGATCACGCGTCACATAGCGCACGGTTGCGCCGTGCGTGGGTGGAAGCTGAATGAAACTCGGATACGTATCGTTTCGGCGAAACCGAGCAAGCTCGAAGGGTTGTTGCGTCACGGAGCTTCCGTATAAACATCGAGAACCTAATCGTGAACACCGCGTCCGATTATGCGCTTTTCTCAGTGACCGATACGCATTCGTTGTTTTAGAAGTAGACTGCTGGATCTTCGTGCAACAGAAAAATGTTCGAACGCCGAGTGAGAAACGGAAGATAAGTATAAACGTGATTCGTTCTTCAATTGGGCCGTTTATTTTGAAAGTGGCATAAGTCACTTTTTCAAAAAAATCGAGTTAATGGTAACACTGGTTACAATTGAACGGTATCTTTTCATTTAAGAAAAAAAAAGTCACTTATGCCACGTTCAAAATAAACGGCTCATATTTTAACTATATAAATATATTTAAAATATATATGAGAAATATATATAATAAAATTCGGGAGAATTTATTCCAATCGGATAAAATCCGCGAGAAAATTCGCGAATTTGTACAAGGATCTGGAAATGTATAATCGACCGAAATCCGGTATATCGGCTGTAATCGTTAAAGGGGTTGAAACGAATGACCCGAGACCCGTTGACCAATAATTTTCCGATAGGTTTCCTAAGCGAGCTGTTCAACATACGCGTGGCGAATTGTCGCGGACCCAGATTTTCAGGTAGAACCAGCCGAAACACTTCCTGGGTGACGGAGACTGAAACACTGCATTCCGTGTATACAGGGCGTACGCGTTACGTGACGATTGGACAGGGTACCCGTACGATCGAAAGAAAAAAAGATCAGTCGAAATCGACCAACCGTGAAAGTTAGTGGTTGGCCGGACCATTTACCCTAGATACGCTCGTCCATATAGAAGTGCGTCGCGACGCGGCCGCCAGTTTCGTCCAGCTAGCATCCTGAAATCACCTACACCTTCGCTATGCAGTTCTTCGTGAGTACCATTGCTGTATTTCTTATCCTTCGTTCTTAATCGCATCTTTCCGTCGAATTTTTACGGTGGCTCTTTGTTCTCTTTATTATTTGTACGTTTGTCTGTCACGGCTCTAACTTCATCCGCGTGTGTTAAATATCGTTTACAGAATGTTTAATACGTGTTTAATACGTTCGGTGCCGTGTGAATTGCTATGGTAAATTTTCATTTTCTAGTTTCGGTGTCATTAATTAGATGACTCTGATATTGTGCGAATTTTTCGAGTTAATATTTGACACTTAATGTGTTAAACAGTTGGCTGTCGCGATCTCTTTGAAAAGTGTGCAAGTTATCGTAATTATACTGTATTGTGAGCTTATTTTTAAAGCTTATTATTATTGAAGCTTTGTTATTAAAGCTTGTTATTATTGAAGTTGTATTATTAAAGCTTATTATTATCATCGAAGCTTTATTATTAAAGCTTGTTATTATTGAAGTTGTATTATTAAAGCTTATTATTATCATCGAAGCTTTATTATTAAAGCTTGTTATTATTGAAGTTGTATTATTAAAGCTTATTATTATCAACGAAGCTTTATTATTAAAGCTTATTATTATCGAAGCTTTATTATTTAAGCTTATTATTATCAAAGCTTAATTATTAAAGCTTACAATGTTTCTGAAGACAGAGGAATTTGGAATGGTGGCATCGTAAAAAAAATACAGTAAATTCTCCCTAATTTTCCTTCAGCTTATTAACAAAAATGGACAAAAAATTTTAATACATTATAAGATTATAAGATTAATACATGCATTTCCAATATCTGAAAATCAAAGATTTGGCAGGATAATGCAACTGCCCAGGGAAGACGTTAAAATTTTATAGAGTACGCTCTACAGATTTTTATACATTCCTACTGCCAGTTTGTTTACACTTTCCTGAAAGCAAATATGTATGGTTACAAGGCAGAACGCCACACGTTTTCGCTTTCTAGATTTTTCGCTTAAACTTCTCATCGCCAATTTCTATGTATATAGGTTAAATAGCCTAATTTCCCCCCTTCAAATCAAAGAGGTGACGTTGACGTTGATAAATATATTCTGGGTTCCTCCTAAGTTCCCCGACCCCCGCATTAACCCTCGAACGGCGGACCTTCTTGACAAAAATATACTTGTTTATACCTCGGATTATATTGGGTTGGCAACTAAGTAATTGCCGACTTGTTCGATGAAATAAAAATTTTTTTTTACTTGGAATGAAGTTTAATCTGTAATGTATTTTCCATTTTGTTCGATGACCTTTTGCCATCTCTCCGACAACTTGAAAATTCCACGCTCGTAGAAAGTCTGATCCTTTTCGGCCAGAAACTGAGTTAAGCGAGATTTTATAGCGTCATCGTCATTAAAAGTTTTACCACGAAGGGAGTTGTCCAGAGATCGAAATAAGTGGTAATCCGATGGCGCGAGATCAGGGCTATACGGTGGGTGTAACATCAATTCCCAACCAATATCCATCAATTTTTGCCGAGTGGACAAAGACGTGTGCGGCCTAGCATTGTCCTGATGGAAAATGACACCTTTACGATCGACCAATTCTGCTCGCTTTTCCTTGACCGCTGCATTCAATTTGTCCAGTTGCTAACATTCATGGATAATAAAAAATAACATAATAATAATAATAATTTTATAATATATAATAATATATATAATATAATTATTATATATATTTATATATTTATTATAATATTATATATTATAATATATATATATATATATAATATATATAATAAAAAATAACATAATAATAATAATAATAATAATTTTATAATATAACATTTACGGATATCATAAAAATGGGAGTGAGATACATCTACAACTGAATCGGCAATTACTTAGTTGTCAACCCAATATATAACGTTATTTGGCAATATTTATCAACGTCTATGTTGAAGATACTCCTTCCTTCGACATTTTTCGTAGACCTCAATGAAACGTCGGAAAATGTAAATTAATTGTCACGAACCAACCGGTCAAATGACGATGTTGGGTTCAAACGGACCCGAGCTCCGTCGTTCGAGGATCGAGCGAACGGTAACGGCACGGCAGCGAGGAGATATTAATAGCGAACATTCAAGTTCACATGAAACGAGCGGCCTCGTACACTGACCGCGATCGACGGAAGTTGCTTGAAATTGTTTTGGCCTACATTATTTCATAGAAAATTCCCGTCTCTTATCGGCAACGTGAAGTCCGCGCTGGCATTTGAAAGGTGGCCGGTTGCATTAAGTGCTTTCATCCTTTCGCCTTGCGGGAACCAAGCGCGCGCGCGCGCGGCGTCCTATTCAGTTTCTAAGCTAATGTGCTCCGCAGGAAATCGGTAAACTGCATTCTCCGACTTTCTCGGTCGCAACCGATTCGAGCCGGCGCGTGACGGTTGTCTTTTTTTCTTCTTCTTTTCTTAATTTGCGCGCGCGATGCGAACGCGTCCATTCGTGACACAGAATTCTACATTAATGATCGGATCATACTGTCTCGCGGAGCGGTGAAATGAGACTAAAGTGGGTCGCGTTACATCGTCGGATGTAGGAAAATAGAATACGTGAAATGTTACCGGATCCTCGAGACGCGCTCGCTCTTCGAACGCTTCGGAACACTTCGCCGCGTCGAGGAGAAGAAATCGCTTGTGCAGAAAATTGTTTACGATATAAGTAGGACTACTGATTAAACAAACGTGAGAATCGTAATTATACGTACACGTCTTACATAAAGAAGATATTGCATGTTTTTATTAATATCTTAGCTAGTTTTAATTGGACGATTTTTTATGGGATATTTTTATATGGGAAATAATGTTGGAAGGAAAAAACATTAATTGTAACATTCTTAAGTTTAGCCTAAACATATTTGTGCTGAAATATTTTTTGGGACCAAGAAAAGTAACGAAGGTTCTTTCAGTCACAATAGTTGCTTACATTTTAGTGAAATTTCCATTAGCTTATAATTTATTCATTTGCTTGATTCGTCACTAATTCAGTTTATTATGTAATTCTAGATTTTATTGTTAGCCGTGGCGCCTATTTATGCTGCCGGAAATCCTTTAGGAGAAGATCATCAATATGTTAGTTCTGGTAAAGTATATATTATAGTAATATTCATTTAATTAACTACAGAAATAACAATTTGCCCAATACGTGGGTGCTAGTTTTTTCATTTTCGGATTTGAGGATATATTGTACTCTCGAATGGTAACAGTTATTTCGATTTTGTACGTCAATTTGAGAACAATGACGAAAACAAAGAAACTATAATGAAGATGAAAAGTACAGTTCGAATGTGACAACTCGTGCGAACAGTGTGCAAGAATATTCTTCTGTTTTAGTAGAGAGATTACTATCATAATATTACTTAAAATTAAAAATACTATTATTAATACATACTTTCAGTGTACACATGTATTATGATTAATCATATTCAGTGTGCAAGAATATTCTTCTGTTTTAGAAGAGAAATTACTATTATAATATTACTTAAAATTAAAATTGCTATTATTAATACATACTTTCAGTATACATATGCATTATGGTTAATCAAGAACTAGTATACATGCATATCGGTGTTGGTCATTAATCAATAAAAATCTTTAGTTCGATTAAATGATTGATGAAAACGATTGAAAGCATTAATCGTTTCGGAAGTACCATAATTTAGGAACACCCTGTAGAGTGATTCATAATTTTTGAGACAATGACAATACCTCCTATTCGTGAATAATTCTCCCCATAACATAGGCAGAGACGATCGCTAGATAAGCATTGGATTACAATAATTGAGTCGTTTATTTTGAAAGTGGCATAAGTCACTTTGTTTTTAAGTCGATATATTTAAGGGTTCGCGTTTCAACACGTTTCAAAATATGGATGCTAACTTTCGAGAAGATTTACTTGTATCTGTTATCTCAGGATACTGATATTTTTCTCGGTATAAATAATTTCGTATAAACATGAAAAAATCACCACTTTTCATTACGGTAAAGTGACTTATGCCACTTTCAAAATAAACGGCTCAATTA